AATTCATAGAGTTATTATGTAAAGATGTTTGATGTAACTCATGTATCATATATATACAATTTAATAAAGACTTGCATCTAATGCCCCTTTATGCCCAAAAAAATAAATAAATAAATAATATCTTAATTTCCAAAATGCATTTATTTTAGAATAAATTAAATAATATTGAAAATTATTATCATTAATTACTTGTCTTATATTATTTGATATTTTATATAAGATATTGATTTTATCAATACTATTTAAATCATTTTAAGCATAAGTAGCAAGGCCATAAAGAAGTAAATAACAAATAAGCATTTGAAAACTTTTTTGTTTTAAGTAAATCTGCTAATATTATAAATCAGTACTATTTTAATACTAGTTTGATATTAGTTCAGTACTTTTTAGAGCCCTAGTATTCATATATTTATATTTAAATTTATATTTAATTTCAAAAAAATTTTATTGAGTTATATATATTAAAAAAGATTCCAAATAATTTTGATTACTATTGTATATTTAAAGACAAGAAAATATTTTGACTTATGTTTATATTGCATAGTAAAATTTTTTTTAATTAAAGAAATAATATAAAAAGTATTTTAAATAGTATTTGATTTATAAATTTTAAACAATTGAGTTTATATTATACTTTGTAATGTTCAATGAAAAATATTATTTATCTAGTTGATATAAATCAAGAAGCAAAAAAGTATTTTGGAAGAAACTATGAAAAGGTTTTTTATTTTTCTAATTTTAAAACTTGGATTTTTAAGATTACTTTATTTTCTAATTGAAAAATAATAAAGAGATTTTTTACAATATTTTTAGAATTATTAAATAATAAAAAAAGAATAAAGAAGTAGATGCTTGGAAAAAAAATTAAATAAGAGTAAGCAGACTTGACCACTTTTGTTTAGTATCTTTATTAATAATAAGAATTTTATGCAAAATCTTAGTATTAATTTAAGAAAGAACTCGTTAGAAAATAAGAAAAAATCTGATGATAAATATGCAAATATTTCATTGTTTTTTTTGATATATTGAAAAGTTATCCAAATTGTTATTGTTTTTAAAATAATAAAAAACATTGCATTTATATTTCAAGATTTAAGAAAGCAGATTGAAACAAAATTAACAATTCTAAGGTAGACAATAAAGATACTAGTATTAAAAAAAAGTCAGATCTTATGTCTGACTTCTCTGTTAATTGAAGAATATTATTTTTCTTTTGTAGTTGGTTTGAAAACAGAATTATAGAGCTGTTAATTAACTTTTTGTATTGTTATTTTGTTTTAAAATTATATAACAATTGTTTAAAATATATACTGTATATTAATAAAATCCAAAGATTTTTAATACAATTTATACTATTATTTGAAACAATTAAGTTATTATTTAGATAAATTTGTAAAGTTATAGTATAATTATTTTAAGAATTTTAAAATTAAGTTAATAGCAAAATTTTTAGCTGCATATATAGTCTAAGTGTTAAATAAAACATAATTTAAAATAATTTAACATCTAAAACTTCGAAAAATATCAAAAGTAAAATTGGAATAATATTAAAATAGTACTAATTTATGGTAAAGTTAATATATGAATTATAATAAATTGATAGTAAATTTAAAATTTAGATTGATTTCAAAGTACAATTATTATGAACATTACTAGCATTATCAATCCCGGAACATATCCCGGGCTTACACACTAGTATATTTAATAGAAATATACATATATAAATATAATATGTAACACATAAGGCAATAAGTTCTAATAACTTCGTTTAAACAGTATTGATCATATAACATCACTGGTTCGTTCCGGTCTAATAAGCAATACTCAAGACTTTGGACATGTCTAATTACAGTTCAACAGCATTTAATATTAAGAAAGACGACTTTATACGAAAGTGTATTCGTTATATTACGTACAGGACAAAAAGAAAACATAAATTACAGAATGAAAGTTATTTTAATAACAATTAGAAAATTTTGACACAAATTTCAAAAATAAAATAATGAACCTAATTTACTGTATTATATATACAGTTCATAAGCGAGACGGAATTGGGTCAATACTTTTATTAATGAATTGAATTTCAGATAAAAATTTTGTTGGCTTTGCTGAAAGCATAATAGGTTTGCATTTGGTAAACATTGTAGTGTCGCAGGCCAGGGATCTATCAGCAGTAACGGCGAAATTCTAGACTTCGCGACACTTCGACAGGGGTATCTATTATAACAGGGGGGATGTAAAGACAGAAAGAGGCGAGTTTGTGTGATTTGGGGGGATTTTATTGATCAGAATAGTGCGATAAGTATGGCGATTTTTAACTAGTGAACACTTTTTTATTAACTAATTTTTTCACTCTTCTTTCCTGCTACATTCTTACATCATTTTTATACTTTTTCTTACAGCAAAGAAATAAAAGAAATAAAAGAAATAACCAAAATAAAAGAAATAACGATGTTGAGTCGATTACCCGTTTTGGCAACCTCTATAATGCGCGATCGTCGTTTCTCAATTTCTAAACCATATCGTCGATCGCCGTTTCCCCGTAACAGTAGTAATTTTATTAAATTTACAAGAAAAAAGCAAAGTTAGTTAATCCAATTGTGAGTAATAATTCTCAGTATTTTTACCTCCACTTGATTTCTACGAATAAAGCAAGCCTGATTGATCGAAACCAGATCAAAGATGCATGATTTTATCATAAAACTTTCGAAAAATAATGCTACATTTTAATTCAATAAATTAAATGTTATCACACTTTCCTTGATTACTTTATATGAAAAGATGTTGTCGTGGGGATAGTAGTATATAAGGCAAAAAAAAAAAAAACAGTACCTGAATAGAATATACTCGATAAAGTATCATTTTATCAATTATTATTTGAGTGAAGTGAAAATGATTTTTTGAATCAAATCATATTCAATTTTTTAGTTTGAAAAAAATCCATATTTTCCTTATCACCAACAATGCTGCATGCGTATGCGTATGCATAAAAAAGAATAGTTTAAGATCTACCACATGTAGTACTGTATGTGCAGTACAGTACACTAAACTTCGTGGCAGTGTTCCATAAATAAAATGTGGCGATGTTCGAAAAATTTATATGGCTACGTGTGTAAAAAAAAATCGACTCTTTCCTTCTCATTTATAATTGGAATAAAAATATAAAAGAGATGATGGCCGAATCTTGCGACCCACTAATTCGCGATGGGGTTTCATACATACAATGGATATTTGATACTTTTGGAAGTTGTATATATGGAAATCAAGAATTAATTAGCATCGCATTCGGCTATCTATCGGTTTTTTGTTGGCTGAATGCTCAATTTCCGTATGTTTGATCTCATCATATATAGTAAAGGACGACTCTCATCAAGTATCTATAATAAACTAATACTTTTGTTTTAGGCAATTGATAGAGAACTTTAGAAATAAGTCGGTGAGCGGATTGAGCGTGCCATTTTTGTTCAATTGGTTACTAGGAGACATATCAAATTTACTTGGATGTATATTAACAAACCAACTACCGTTTCAAGTATTGAACAAAAAACTTTCTATTTTATTTAATTAAATTATATTTCTTTTTTGATTATTTATTCTTTAATCCTTTTAGGTTTATCTGGCTATCTATTTTTGCATAGTAGATTTATGTCTATTCTATCAATACTTTTATTATACAAGGGGCAGAGCTTCCATACGTGAATTAACAAGAAATTCTTCGGATGAGGAAAGAAAAAAACTCGAAATTAATTCGAGTCATAAAGATATGTATGTACGCTATTATAAGAATTTTTATACTATTGTAGCTCAACGATTGTTCTTTTAATAAATAGTACGACTGTCACCACTTTTGCAATAATGTTTTTGATGTTTCACTTCACTCGCCGTACTGCTTCTACGATTACGACTTCATCTTTGCATGCCCTACGGTCGCCAAATGTCGATGATATACCTTCCAAAACGTTCTTTCAAGAAAATTCATTGTTGATCGGAAGAATTTTTGCGTGGACTTGTGCCATCCTATATTTGAGCAGTAGAATTCCGCAGATTATTAAAAATGTACGTATGCTTGCTGCATGTATGCTTATAAAATTTGCATCCTTTCTTACCACAAATCTGTTATTTATAATAGCACAAAAGAAAGTCAGTGGAAGGTCTCTCCATATTCATGTTTATATTCGCCGCACTGGGTAATCTCAATTACTCCCTCTCAATCTTTATTAATCCACGGTTTTCCAGAGATGACTCATATGTGCGCGAAACTATACCTTATGTCCTTGGTGCAATTGGAACACTGGGATTTGATCTAACCATATTTGTACAATGGTATAGATGGCGACGAAACAATAAGGGGGTGGACAAGGCCACTTACGCCATGTTGATGTCTGACGAGGTGTGTGAAGAGGCTTTAATGATGGATGAAATATATAAGAGGAATAGTATAGAAAGTGAGGACAGTTCAAACTATGACGATTAAAAATATAGAAGAGCTACTCCGATGGTATCAATTTGTAAAATTTAGTAAAAAGGCCAAGGACAAATGTTCGAGAACAAAAAATTAAGCCATTGAATGAATTATAATTGAAATACTATTTTAAACTTTTTATACAGTATTAATTATACTATTAAATATGTAAATTGATTTGATTTTGTCTCACTACTTTGTCTATGTACAAGGGAATGATCAAATTAGTAATAATTTAGAATGATTTATTGTTAAGTACAAAAATTAACTCATTCAACATACAGTAAATAAAAAATTGCTTAAAAATTATTGAAATTGCATAATATATTAAACTTGATTGTTATAATAAATTTTACCTACAATAAAATTTATTAATATATTTTTGGATAAAAAAATTTTTTTTATTAAAATCTAGATACTGTATGTTGCAAAACTTTTTATATTTATTCGTTATTCAAAAAACTACTCATAAAAATCAATAAAAAAACTTTCTATACAAAAATTTTTAAATATTCTTTTGATTGATGTGTATCTTTATGTCATTAAATAATTATATTTTAAATAATTGAAATGTTGTTTTATTAAAAAAAATTTTTTTAATTGCTATTGAGATATTTTTTTGTCCAAGTTATATAAACTTTTTTAAAAGTAATAATAAGTATATATATCTTCAACGATAACTTATTTTTGATCAAATATCTTAAAAATATTGAATATAATATTTTGATATTAATAGTTAATAATTTAATTGACAAATTTTTTATAAAAAGTTTTGAATATAATATAATTATTAATTGATTCCTTTTAATATATGTAAAATAATTTTTATAAAATAATTTCTATTTGGTTTTCTTAAATTATTATAATTGAGTTTAATTTTTTAAAATTATAATAAATTATAATATCTCTATATCAGTTTTAAATATTTTTTATTTGTAAAAATAATTATATATATTTTTAAAAAAATAATATAAAAATTTATTATTGAAAAATAATAAATTAAAAATTTAAAGATATATATTATTTGTTAAAATATTTGTTTGAATATTTAAAATTTTATAAAAATTATTTGTGTTTATATAAAAGTAAAATTTTACAATATATAGTATTTATTTTACTTTTATAATTATAGTTTTAACAAATAATTTACATAAAATCTTTATTTTAACTTTTTTAAATAAAAAGTATTACAATCTATATATTTTTATTATAATTTTATATCTTATAGTTTTCTTTTTGCAGATTTAATTTACACTTAATATCTATATAATTTAACTATAATAACTATTAATAGTTAGATATATCAATATGTCAAATAAGATTATCAAAAGATAAAAATTTTATTATTAATTTAAACTAACTAATTTTGCAATCTAATTATATTAAAAAATATTTATCTTATAAAAATTATTTTATAAAACAATTAAATATTTTAATACTTTTCATTTTTAACTATTGAGAAGATAATACAGTCGGGACAAAAAAAAACACCTTTTTTTTCAATTAATATTTTTAATTATAATTCAATAAATAATTATTTAAATTTTATGA